TGTTATCTGACATTTAGCAAAGATTCCCAGATGATGAAATGGTACATGCAATGGAAAACAATAGTACTGTGTACACTGTTATAAGAGTAAAAAGTGGTATAAAGCTCATCCATACCTACAGCGACTAGTCTAGTAGTTCAATTACCAAATTTCAACTCAATAAAAACATTTAGGTTGAGATAATTATGGACTTGCATTAAATCGAGGTGAATCATGAAGCACTAAAATAATGAGTTTTAGAATGTTGCAAGTAACTTGGAGAAAGAGAAAAATATTTCAAAATATCGATTGATTTAATGTTGAGAAAACTGGCATTGGCATATTACAAAATAGGAGTTAGAATGTAAAATATTAATTGAATAAGTAGCTCAAGTAACAATAATTTCTTCAACATGACAATCAATTAACCAGTCATCCTTCAGTTAATCCTTATCAATAATGAATAATCAACAATACTATTCTAATCATACTACTACTTCATAATCAACCGATGGATAATCTGATTCCCAGATAAAATTCATCTTATCCAGTGTAATGTGGTTTATTTATATTGATATTTAATAAATCACATTGCACTATTAGCATACTAATATATAATGTGGTTTTATTTCCACTAACTCAAAAACAAATTTCTGAACAAAATCATTTTTTTTAATTTTAATCAATGCCATTATATATTTTTGTCTACTGGCCACCTTTTCGGAATCTTCTCGAAGTAAAAGATTAAGTCTTGTTTGTTATCTCTCACTTCGTAATCTTCTGTGTTTGTAGGTATTCTAACTTTATATTTGAAGATTTTTCAATTTTTAACCTATTTATTTGTATAATACTAAATATGTTTTTAGACACAAACTGGGGTCACGGTAAATATTTATTTTATCATTTAGAACAGCAGCGATTCTTTTTTTTATGATCGCGAAATATGAAAATATAGAATTGATTTCTACTATAACTCTTTATCAATAAAATGTAAATATGAAATATTTTAATATTTATTTAGCGGTGACATTTTTATGTTAATAGTGTAAGATAACAATACCTTAGTTGTAAATTTAATTAACTGAATTTTTAACTTTACAGATTAAATATAAATATCCTTACTTTTATTGAAAATTATAACAATGAATAGAAAAAAATTTCAAAGTATTTGTGCTTAATCATATAATTTATGTGTTAAAAAAGAAATTATTTAAGTATCTGGATGATGTGCACATTTTATATTTGAGAGTCAATGCCAACTAAAAAATTCAACAATCTTTGCTTTGTGAAGCTAAGTGTTCGATAAAGTGTGCTTATAAATTTCTAAACAAATCGCTATCAAAAAGATGATTTTTATTCTAATACGAGTTAAATTTTTATGACCTAAACTTGTATGAGGATGGTTATCATACTTGGCAGCAAGGTAAATAAGGTTCTGCTGGAGTGAAATGCGTTGAGAATAAGCAATATGTCTGACCGTAACTGACAAATGCGAGATTTACTTTAAATTAAAAATGGATTATACGTTAACTGTAGTAATTTCAACCGCCCTTGACTTACACACGCCTACGCACACGTATGCGCACATAAATACACATGCGCACACGCACACAGTTGCTGGGTTATGGTTAATTTCTATTTATTTTAAACAATACATAAGAAAGAAACAATAGAAAATGTGCATCTAAATAAAAAAGATAATATTAGATATTGGTTGTTGAATAGAAATTCTTTGAATGCTGCTAAAGTTGTTGCGTAAACGTTATCCATCTTAAAAGTTCCCACATTATAGAACACGACAAAAATTGTTAAAGCTCATGATCTGTTTAATTTTATATCGCAATGGTCAAAACTAAAATTCAACAAATACTCTACCAGATAACATTTAGAAAGTTGGTATCGTTATATCCAAATAAATCATTTACTGCCTATTTTATGAATCTATGTTAGATACTATTAAGTCTACTGTTTTTACGAGAGATAAATGGGTTGTTACGGATGGAATATCATTCCTTGATAGTATGATTTTCATGATTTCAATACATACGTTATAATCGCAATCAACGAAATTAAATGACTAAATCACTATGTGCTATCTGTAAGCTTAAACCTAGACAACTATTTATGTTATTATTGTTATTGCTAGATCCATCTTGCTGCATAAAATTCACAATCTTCTTTTCTACAACATATTACTTTGTATATTGAATTTCAACTCTACATCATTGTCAAAATTTATGTAATAAATATTTGAAGTAATAATGCAAACAAAAATTAATTATTTACATATAGGTTTAAAAATTTTAGATTTGCAATTAACTTAAAAGAAAATTATTAGATATCAAATGTGAAGAAGATAATAAATATTTAAATAATATTAACTTATAATATATATATTTGTTAAATTAAAAAAACAATTTATAATTTTGAATATTTACTTATCGAGTAAAATATAACTTCAGTATAGAGCTGTCATCGGTTAATACAATAAATTATTATTTTACGTCATGAAAAATTTTCCAGTAATAATTTCGTTTGATAAAGTAGTATAAAATTATTTTAGACCTCAAGAAAAGCCATAATGATCTTTTGAAAATTAGTTTCGACAGATTGACTTGATGCCGTGTGCAAGTGTCTGATTTTGTTACACGGTCCGAGCGTTGGTGAAACTTGAGTATTTTTTTTAGAGAAGTTCGCGGATTTATAGTTGATTTTTATGATTGTTGGATTACTGAATCCGAATATCAAGAAAATTTTGCTGAGTTCTTAAGACATAGCGTCAACAAGTATCATCGTCTATTAGGTTTTTCTAGTTTACGTAAGAATGATTAGAATTTTTTGTGTAAAAGTACTGACAGTGGCACTATATATACCAATACCAATACTATTACTATTAATAATAATAATAATAGTAATAATAATAATAAGAATAATAATAATATCTTTATTACCTTTATTATCATTTCAAAATACTTAAAACATAAGCACTACAGAAGCTTGTGCGGGTATAGTCGTAAATTAATTAATTTATAACTGATTGATTTAACGTATACATAGATTTGCTATACGTAATTCTGTTATATTTTTTCCATAAAATTAATTTACGAAGTCAGTTTTGAGATTAATAATCATTTTTAAGCAAAAGACGCTATAAAATGTAATGCTGCAACTCAAATTGTTAATAAGAAAAAATTAACAGGCAATTTTCGGATTTAGTGATCCTAAAAACATCAAGATCAACTATAAAATCCCAAGTATCTCTAAAAAAATACTCAAGTATGTCATCTATGCCCGGGCTATAGCTTCCTAATGAAATCGAAGAAATTTTTAAGCTTTTGTTGATTGTTTTACTGTTCTTTATCATTTCTTTTACTGTAACGATAAATATTATGTAATCTTTCATTAATCAAATTAGGGGTAAACATCAGAATGAAATGCGTCGAGCAGAAGAGATAATAGTCCGCCGCCATTTTACGCGACATTCGAGAAAATTCTTTCTGTATAATTGAAAGATATCAGAAGTATATTTGTATGTCGGGATGTTTTTTGTATTAATTAACCTACTTTTTGATTTGTAATCGTTACTTACCGAAAGTATAATGTTGAAATCGCAAAACATACACACGTATGCACAAGATAAATACCGTTAATTCCAGGGGCTAGAGATAAAGGCGATATACATTGAGGAGAAAGGTTTACCGAGAAATGCCGATCTAGTGATGTAGCAGAAAGCAAAAAAATTTAGTCAGAAACAAGTTCCTTAAAGAAAATGAGGCGATAATATAATTACGGCAGGTATCTGTCTGTTTTAACAACGGATGAGTCTATCCGTTGCCAAAAAAATTCCGAGATTTGGTGGGTCCATCTCAACTCAAAACAGAATTCACTTGTGACATGAGTTTCTTTGTTTCGTCTCATTCATGTAAACTCGAAGTAATTTCAAAAATTCCACGGTAATAATTATCAATTTTTTGAACATCAAGTTTTTAAAACTTATAGAGATCGGAAAATATAATACAAATATTTCCACTTTACATTTTTTCAGAGATTCCTTCAGTCCTGACCTTAAGTCTTGATAAATAAAAATATTTAAAAAATTAGGAATGTACATCAAAATTTTTAATTTGAAAAAATATGATTGACCTACAGAAGTTTTTTTGTGGCTTATATATGTACAATAAGAGCAGATGATACGGAATATGTTTTATCAATGATTTATAAATAAATGTTTATATTTAGTTAGATTCCTATGAAAAATAGTCATTAATGCTTTTTCAATGCCATAGTTAAGCATTTGTGCATACTCAATTTTTACGATATATATTTTTTTATCAATGGGAGATATATGACTATTATAAGACATATATATATATATATATATATATGTATCGCTATGACTTTTTTAGTATTAAATTACATTTTGAAACTAAGAAAGACGTACTTGCACACGCATATATTTGAATAAAATTTTGATCCGAACATTAGAAAAATATCATTAAAAATAATTAAAAATTATTAATTCATCATTAAAAATATCAGCGATCTTAAAAATCTATGAAAACATCAAATTTATTAATCTGAAATATTGCATCAATTTTACTCGTTTTATATAAAAAGAATTATAAAGCTATCTGACAAAAAATCATAACGGTGTAGAATATATATATATATATATATATATATATATATATATAATTTTTTTGGATAATAATGTAAAATAATTTCAATAGCTATCTCCTGCTGAATTTTACTGTATGTACATCTCTTGCTCTTATTGTTGTAAGAGAAGCTGTATAAAAGTCGAAAAATCCAGAATACAAAACATCCAACAATCTAATACAAAATAAAATTTACTAAATCTTTGCGCGGAGTGAAGCTTATTAATGAGAAGAGACAACAATAAGATATTTTATATAATTATTAAAAAAACGGTAAGTAAAAACAAACCGCATTTGATGTAACTGGTACAATATCAAGTGATTATTGCTACGTCATCGAAATTCGTTATCGTCCTCGGCACTCAACAAAGTGGGGATAAGTGTGGCGTGGGTGAACCGAAGTATAGCGTGCAACGTTCCCCACTTTTGAAGCGCGTCAGCCGACGGCGGCTAGGTGTGCTGCTGCTGCCGTTGGCTAGCCAGCCAAGCTCAAGCAGGTGGCCAGGCGGCCGACCGGCTGGGCTGCAGTCGTCGAGAGCTCCCCTCTCGAACAATGTTTACACATACGTAGACGCGGCATTGGCCGCTTTCCGCGTGTTTCACTCGAATTCTCGCCGAGCTCGCTACTCGCTCTTCCAGAAAGACTGGCCACGCCTGACCTCACCGCCGCCGCTCGCGCTGTACAACCAGTAGAAGGGATATGGATACTGCAGCAACAAGTTAAGTACTTTCGTTTATCGCCTTTTAATACTTATCCGTTTCTGCTCTACTGTTTGATTCGCCATTCGTGTGACATGCGAATCAAGCGTATATTTCATCGCTTTTAGATTTGGTTGGTTAGTGATTTCCTGTTCATTCGGCTCGTTGCTCTCTGTTCACTTCTCAGCGATTTTCCACTCTTCCCCTGCGGTTACGCAAACAATAATGTGTAAGTCCACAACGTTTATACTATGTGCGACACTTTGCCGTTTTCGGTCATATAAAGTCACTTCAACTTTGTTTTTTTTTTCGATTGTTTCAGCGATATTTCGCACTTTAAATTCAGCTAGGCAGTCGACAAATACATTACAAAAGAAATTCTATTCTATCTCTGCAAATAAGTAAACTCTCCTATCCAAATTATACCTTAATTCGAAATTATTGAAATTTGATTCTATCTATTTTTCAAATAAATCAGTAATCGAAGTATAGCGTACTGTACGTTACTGTCTATACGTTACAGATTTACTGTCTCCATTAAAATATACTTTGTTAAATCAGTTAGGTAATCGATATTGTTTATCTTATTTATTTTCATTCATGCGATAAATTTATATGTAAATTTATGTTTGTGTAACATATTCTTTATTCCACTAAATTATAACGATTAACTTTAAATAATATTACGACATCCGTTTGTTCAATAAAATATTCAGATAGCTCAAACATTCATTAACAATAAAAATCTTTTGTTGAAGATTTACTGTAAGTGTGTGTGTGTGTGTGTGTGTGTGTGTGTGTGTGCGTGTGTGTATGAATATATATAAACACATTAAGAAAGAGGAAGTTGGATGTTCCAAAACTTGTGCAGGAGACCGGGACTTTCTCATCCAAGCGAATCGCTAACAATTGAACATATTTAAAATACCTCCGTTATTCAGCGTTTCCCCTATAAATATAGGATCAACACTGTAAGTCACGAAATGTACGACTATGTCTCACATTCAATTCATCGTAAATTATGAAAACATCGTCGAAAAAAGAACAATTATTAGTAACCGCAAAAAAGAAAGAGGTAGGAAGTGTTTCAAAGAAAGAGAGAAGCAAATATGAAAGAAGAAAAAGAGTAAAAACACAAGAGTAATGTTGTCTGAATTAGGTGATGCTTAATCATTCCATTATTGAGAAATCGGTTATAATATTTTAAAAATTAATTTTTTTTCGGCAATACGACATAGTCAAAAGCGATATAGTCAGTTTAAATGAAAGAACTGTTCTCAGAACCGTACTGTCTGAAACATAGATCAGTGTTGACGTCTTCAGGCACGTGTCGGCACGTGGCCACTTTTCAAATAGACGGGAAGAGGAAGCGAGCGAAAAAGCACTTTTCGGATCTTTCTATGGAACTGGACAGTGAAGTACGTTCTTGCGAACGTACTGTGACTGTAGAACTGCGCACTCAAGTGCGACCCTACGCTCACTCGTCTAACCCTTCTGCTTGATTTTCTGATTACAAGAGGCCTACTAATGGGCGAGCGGGTTTTGAGCCAGTGCCCTTGGACAGTTCCTACGGCAAGTCGTCGACGCGCGGCAAGACTTCCGCTCAACGTTTGCGCATTGTCGAGGGTGCTGACTGCTGGCAAGCCGTCTGTCCATTACGCATATCCGGCTTCACGAATTAGATTTATTTCCAGCTATGTGTTGTACACTACCTCGCTATACCATCGTAGCCACTGCGAAATATATTCATTTTGTCTCTCCCTCGCCGTTTTTTTTCATTCATATAAAACGGATAAGTTAAGGCTTGGTACTGAAATTTCATGTCCTTAAAAAATAAGGAATGCAATGCAAGAGCTTATTAATAGTTCTCCAATTAAATAAAAAGAAAGTTATCGGTAATTTTATATGCACAGATTATTTACTGATAAATGTTATATTTTAGATATTATCATTGAATTCATCACTGCGAATACATTATTTTACTATTATTATTATTATTGGAATTTGTAGAAATAATTTGGTAATCTATATTTTTGCGGATTCCATGATTTACCTTATATTTAAGTAGCTTAGATATGTCTGTCTAGAATACATAGTTACCGTGATTTTTAATTATTCGGTTTTATTAATTGAAGTTAACTTTTATTTTAAATGTCGATAATCTATAATTTGATTTCGTCAAAGGAAGGGTAAATACATATATTTATGGAAAATTAAAAATGAAATGAGTAACACTAGATATTCTAGTTTGGTTCTTGTAATTCTTGTAACTGACTCCTATCTGACCTTAAAATTCGAGATATGTAAGCATGTGCGCAATTCAATATAATTAACCATCTATCTCTATTTGAAACAAACGTGCTACTTACTATCAATGAAGCTATTAAATGACTAACAAATTTTCAATGTATTACGGTGTACATATGATGATACGTAAAAACTCTAAGTGACAGCCTAATATAAGATGAATATTATAAAAATATTTACTTATAAGAGACTACCAGACTAGCAGAAGACCTTTAATGAAATTTTGAAAAAATATTTCACACAAACAAAAGAATAGTCGTATTTCACGGTCATATTTCATTCGCTTTTATAAAGAATTTACGAAGTCTTCTATCCAATATATTAAAAAATTGTATTCTTCTTCAACCTTAAAAACGCTGTTAATATATTGTATTTGAAGTTGGCTTCTTTTCTTGTTATATTATTCTCGATAATTTTATTTTTATTTACTTCATGATTTTTATAAAATTAATTATTTTATTTTGTTATCAATTGTTTCTGTCTTTTAAATATATTTTTCGCAATATATACTAATATAAGAATAAAGATGTTGATTTTTGTTATATAATCGAAGGTTGTGTCAGTGTGACAAATAGTTTAAAATTTTTTTTATTCCTTTCTGTTTCAATACAATACTTATATTTCGAATGAAATTAGAGATCTACAATTTATAATCATAAATAAGGTAAAGAACAGAAGGTGGTACTAACAACCAGTGGGAGGCCATTTAAAGCCACAAGATCATTACGAAATCAAGCTTGTCCAAAGATAATCTCGATACTCTCATTTCCGCGGTGCAAGATCTATCGAGGCTGGTTACAATTTATTTTGTTTTTACCTAGTGAATCTGTGCAAGTAGTTTGTCGTGAACAAAAGTAAAGGCCTTTTTGCCAAGATTAACGATACTCTACTACTGTTTCAAAGAGTTTCTAGCTCCAACCCTTGCTTCTTTGGCTACTTTTCCAACAACTTAATCTTCCTCCCTCATTGCGCTACTTCACTTGTTATGCGTCTTGTGCTCGTTGTTCAAATGGTACTTGACTGAAATAGGGAATACTGGAGATGTAGTCATAGCCACACATTTTATGATTGCGAGTGGCCAAAGCAGGAGGATTAAGCTGAATTGATTGCTTTCATTAGAGAAAAAAATTCCCTTCCTTTTCTTCACTTGGCTGCTTCCTTCCGGCTGTGCACGCGCGCTTCGTTATTTTCAACTTGTGTTTCTCGCGTGCCGAGTATAACTAAGTGCGCTATTTACATCGAATCCCGTAACTTATCTGGTCCGTGTATTACGTCCAAGCCACTGTATAATGTTTTTCCTGTTGCCTCCCCCTATCTCTCTTCCTCTTTCCCTCACCCCTCTTTCTCGCGAGTCTCTACCTTTTCTCTCCGCTCTCCCTCATCCTCTGTATTTTACTTGCTTATTTTGTGTTCAAATATTTATTTATGATAATTTAAAGAAAATTTTTAACACGATTTTTTCAAACACTTTAATTTATTTGTATTTAAATTTCATTAGTATAATAGGAATTCTTCATAAATTATAAATAACAAGGCTTTGAAGATGACATAAATTCATATGTAATATTAAATAACGTTCTTAACAATTTTTTAACTTTCATATTTGAATGAAAATAAGAAATTGAAATCTTTATTTTCACTAAAATATTCGATAAGTCTTTTTACATATTTTTAATATTGTAAGTGTTTTCAGTTTGATAAGTATGAAAAATAATTTTTTATTTTGATTTCAGATTGTCTTAAAATTAAAAATTTTTTTTTTATATGTGTGGACAATTTAAAACCTTAAATAGCTTTTTGAGATCGCGGTGAATCCTACTACTGCATAGGATTTCATGGTTTTGATTTCCAAACATAACAAATTTAAAATTGAAATTGGTTTGTTACCTCGATTGTAATAATTTGGATTCCACTAAAAGTAGGTCTAGTCTAATATATTTGCCTTCCATAACCTTATAACAGTATAGTGTCGGAGAGTGGTCTGAATGCTTCTTATGGCTTAATACAAAACTAAAGGTATTGCGTACAATCACCTCGTGTATTTTAGCAGAGCTTAAAAAGAATTTGATTCTTGAAGTAACAATAATAAATAAATAAAGATCGAAAGTATTAACTTAAAAGTAATAGTCTCCTTAGCTACTTTTTTAAATAGTTATGTTAACAAAAATATTAAAATATTGATATTTTGCAAAATATTGCATGAAATTTTCCAGAAAATTTTTTAAAAATATTTCATATTATTAATAAGACATCTAGCAAATTTTAAGTCATCTGTAATAACAAAATTCATCACAATTTTGCTGGAATTTTTATTTTCAAATCATTTAAAAACATTCAAGATTCGCAATAAATTCAAGAATTTGTCAACAACAGCCTTTCCTGTTTTTACGATAACAGGAATAAATTTAATCGAATCACTTTAAAATTAGGTACAGGTATTGCTTAATACAAATAATGAACCGATTTCCTTGTACAGCTCATTCAGTTGACGAGTTCTTAAGATATTTTTCATTAAGCTATATTGCCTAATATAGAAGCTTTGATATAAACAACCATAACTCTTGACTGAGAGCGATTATTTTATTGTACAAGATTTCATGTTAAGGCTTATAATAACTAGAATATATAATAGTTATAATACAACAGCTATAGCTTCAAAATAAAATGATGTACAATAAATTTGATTAAATCTAGCTTGTGTTATCGTAATTTAAAACAATCGGCATTTTTATCATGTAACTTAAGAAATATTACCTGAAAAAATATAGAAACGTCTTATATTTAGAAATTTTTATTTACTATTGTATTGATTATAATTCATTTAAAAAATTTGTATTTCTTTAGTCATTGCATTATACTCGTATTTACTGAAAGGATGAATGGAAAGGAAGTGAATGAACAATGTCACAGACACAATATCAA